ACTATCACAGCATTGATTATAACAATAACAACTAAAACTAAGTAAAAACTGAACTAAAACTATTACTGTTCAGGGCATTAAAACAAAACAAAAACTAATAGTTTTCCCTTCAAACGGTAATCAAAAAACAAAATGAAAATCTAAATAAAACTTGAAATAATGAAAATTTCAAAACTATAATAACCCTACCTTTCAGAACTCTTTAGCTTATAACTCTTTACTCTTCACACTGTACAAATCTTTCAGCTTTTTTTTTTTTGTTTGTTTGTTTTTTATTTCAGTTCAATTCAGTCAGTATTCAGAATACCCCCTGGTATTTGGAGGGGTCTCATGTTGGCTGGCTACTCCGGTGTTGGCTGGCTGCCAACTCACTCACCACAGCAGCCCTGATGCTAGCTTCAATGGCAGCAAAGTGTTTGGTTCAATGATTCTCCTTTTGGAAATTCTCTTTTCTAGTTTGGTAATGTGGTCTTCCACACAGTAACTGAGAGCTATACATCTCCTCTGTTGTCTTCAGGTTTGAGAAATGAGCAACAATTCACTCTTTCTACCAAACTTGCACCAGTTTTCAGATTTACAAACATGCAACAGCATATTGTAAGATGTTTCAGAGGTATCCCAGGCATAGTTACGGTTGCTAGGCTATAAATGACCAGCTGGGTGAACCAGTTTGCTACAGCGCCACTCTGAAGCAGACCAGTGCTGCATCTCTAGTTAGAATCTCACAAACACTGTATCACTCCGCTAAGACACTGTTGCTAAGCAACGAGTTTGACAGCTGTAGGAGACTCTCAGGCCATTTAAATGTTTTTACTTCTTACTTTGCGCACAAACAGAAAATGGATACTTTTAAGCTCACACTTGACCGACAGTCGATTTGGTCAGACTCTGAAGATGAGAACACTAAATTCCCAAACTGTTATTACCACTGAGCAAGCTGTTCAGTCAGCAGCTGTGACAGAAGAACACCTAAATAACCTGGAATTAGCCAGAAATTAACCGAATACCATTCGCCAAACGTATAGTCTCATCTTCAGAGTCTGACCAAGTCGGACTGAGCCATAAAACCAAAAACACAAAAAAGCTTGCTCAGTGGTAATGACAGTTTGGGAATTTAGTGTAAGGAGCTGGAGAGCGAACTGCTGGCTGACGTAGCAACAAGCTGCTTGTTAAGGAACTATAATTTGGCAGAAGGAATTGCAAACATTAAAACATATTAAATGCCACGTTCATGGCCCAGTTTATTTATTTCTTATTTTATTTATTTAACTGTTGTATACAGTAGAACACTCATGGTCATGTGTTATCGTGTATAACATCACGGCTGTGATGATCTACGGCCACCGTGATGTTATTTTGCGATAACACACTCCCTCTCGTGTTCTATTGCTTAAATATTACATATACCCCAACATATGGCAATGGATAAAAGCAAAAAAAAAACAGCAAGACTCCTTGTTAAAGCCTTTATGGACAGAAAACTATAGAGCCCTGCTGGTGACATCCCATATAAATAAAAAGAATACGTGGCCACACCTTATTAATGCGTGGAAACAAGATCCTAATGTGTGGTAACAACTTAGTAAAGCATGGTAATGAGATAATTAAGTCATGGCCATGACTTAGTAAGGTGTGGGAAAGAGACCATGCCTTACTAAGTCGTGGCCACGACTTAATTATCTTGTTCCCATGCCTTACTAAGTTGTGGCCACGTATTATTTTCATTTATACAAGATGTCACCAGCGGAGCTCCATAGAAAACATCTGCTTGACTCTAGAGGGACAGAGAGAAACTGTTGATTTGTTGTGTGACTAGAATCCAATGTAATGCCAAGATCACAAGAAAGCATTCGAGAAGAGTATCTGTGGAGGTCAGCTTGGTACATAATTCCTTATATATCACAGAAAATATGTGACACTTTTATGAAGCATAAAAGCTATCTGAGTGCTAATAGCACCCCCTTATGGAGAATCTTCAGGCTGCTAAACATGAGTGAGTGAGTAAGATAATACATGATTCATTATTTTCTTAATACTGTTATTTTTACAGAGATGTCTGATGCTTGGTTAAGTAAATGAATGCTAATGGTACGTTTAGATGGTCATAGTAATCTCTTAAACTTGTGAATTTATGAGTTTACCACGGGGACTTTGTGCTTAAATAGCTGGCCAAGTCATAAATACAAGTGATAAAGTTCCATCTTACACAACTTTGTGTTGCAACTCTAATGTACCACTTAGATTAAGACATTATTGATCATCTTATTGTGATTTCCCAATTGGTGATGACAGTCTGAATGCAACTGATGCACACCATTTGGTAATGTAACAATTTTATGACTTGACGAAAATGTCAGAATGCACAAGATGAGTTCACATATTTATCTATTCAAATAACTACTCCAAACCCTACTAGATGACCAGTTTTACCATATGTATGCCTTTATGTGCAGAGAAAACAAGTGCACTCTATTGTCGTTAATTTGTCCAAAGCTTGTTGAAAATGATAGCATTAGTGTATAGGTCCACTGCCATCTGTAGCCGACAGCAGACGAGTAATAAACTAAAGCTTCCCTTCAGCTCATCACAAGCACAGTGCTGAGATGCTGGAATGAGTTGCTAAGCCTCTAATCCCCACAGAAATGGAAGCGTTGCAGAAAATGACATATTGTCCTGTTCACGCCTGCCGGTAAATGGTTCAGTTGCTTATTCTTTCCCATTTTGATTCAGTTCTGTTGTAAATGAGGGGGGAGATTGAGCAGGCTGTCTCTTTGACGTCACATAGAAGACTGTCAGTCCACTCAAGGGTCAATCTCGTCTTCTCTCTCTCTCTCTCCTCGTTTTCACTCGCTCTCTCTTCACCTTGAGTCAAGCACTAAACACATTTACCTTTATCAAGCCATCAGTGAGTGCAGTGAGCTATTGAGCTATCACTGCCTGGCCTTCTTTTTCCAAAGTAATGCTCATTGATCTGTGTCTCTTGTTAAAAAAGGAGAGTAGCTTAATGGCACTAGTAGTTAAACTTTGTAGGGTTCAGATTTAAATAGGAGGAGTTGTGTAGATGGAGCTGTTAAATATTTTGGAAGGGTAAGAATTGGTTTTCTATTTAAACATATATTTAACAAAAAAATACACAGAAGCCTGAACAACTCATTGGCTCTGGGGTGGTCAGTCCATTGTTCTGAGAACACCAGCAGCTTCTTTGCTGGATCTGCAAATTTTCTTCTTTTTCTTTTTTATTTCCTTTTCACAGTAATGGCATCCTGACAGCTACACATCCTTTTAGACTCATAACATTGAGTTGTTTTGTTTTGGTGGTCCACCATGTTTTGCACTGTTGTTAAAAGTCCCCTTTTCTCAATAGATTTTAATTCTTTTGACCTCAAGTTTTGGAAACTGTTTTTTCAATTATTTTCATTTGACTTTCACCTTCCTTATGCAGGTGGATTATCTTATATCTAATTCATAATGTATTTTCACTCAGTGGTCACTTTATTAAAACACCTTCTTTAAGCTTCCACTCATTGGCCACTTTATTAGAAAGGCCTACTTCTCCTTCCACTCACTGGCCACTTTATCAGAAACATTTTCTCTAAGCTTCCACTCACTGGCCACTTTATTAGAAACGGCTACCTTGGACTTCCACTCACTGGCCACTTTATTAGAAACACCTACCTCGCACTTCCAGTTACTGGCCTCTTTATTAGAAACACCTGCTATGTACTTCCACTCACTGGCCACTTTATTACACATGGTTTCTTGCTACCTTGCAGATGTACTTTATTTTTATCTCCACTTGAATAATTTCACCTCCATGTGAATTGTAGGAAAAAAAAGGCCACATCCATTACAGATTCATCATTTTTTTTTCTGGAAGTAGGACACACTGTGAGAAGTGTCTTCAGATCTACCTAAAAATGACTTCATTTGGTAACAAGTAAATGATCTAGTTTTATTCAACCTAAAAAAATACTTTGAATGAATGATTCTTTCAATCAAAGTGATTTTTTGAGTTTAATTAAACTAGTTCAATTGCTTGTTACCACATGAAGTAATTTTTTAGGTAGATCTGACGAGCCACTTTTTACAGTGCATTGGAAGCTTAGAAAACTTGATTAACTGAAAGATAAGGGTTGAATGTTAGATGCAAAGTAGTACATAATAGTAATAAAATAGTCCATATTTGAAAACTCATATGTAGACATAATGCGGACAGCTCTAGTTTAAAGGAAGTCCATTGGAAGTTTATTTGCTTGTGCACTGGCCTCATTATTGTTCTACACGTTCTTCTAAAGCCTTAACAGGTATTTCACAGACACTTGCATCAGCAGATGGTGGAAGGTAGATGAAGTTGTTTACAGGACACGTACGTGTTGCTTTAAGGTTAATGTTTCACCTCACTGGTGCCAGAGGTTGGCGTGGCCTTTGTGTTGTAGCTATTACTCTTTCAGCAGAAGTTGCTAACTCTGCACAGGTACACACATATGACACAAATGCTCAGGTCAGCTACTTTTGGGAGGCAAAAAGAGATTCTTACAGGAAGTGTACGTGTTGCTCTAAAGTTAATCTTTTCCCCCAGGGGTGGCAGAGCCCGACGTGACCTCTTTTCTTTGCGTTTTTTACATTAATCCTCAGAACATGGCTGTTCTCCTTCTGTCCCCACAAATAACCCAGTCTGAGGGATGTTTGCCTCATTAGCTAATGATACCATATAAGGTCAGTGGTGCTGTGGGTGCAGTGCTGCATCTGTTGTATGTGCATGCATGTGTTTTCAAACATTTTCTGGACAAAAATGTTCTTTTTTGATAAAAACAGAAAAAAACAGGGAGAACTTATCAGGACAAAAACATAACTTTGTATTGTTTATTTTGCATATATATATATATATATATATATATATATATATATATATACATATGTGTGTGTGTGTGAGGGTGTGTGTTAGGGAGGTATCTTTTTACAGCCTGTCTCACATTCCCAATGTCTTTGTCCTCCCTCAGTATAAACAAGTGGAGCAGTACATGTCCTTCCACAAACTTCCGGCAGACTTCCGACAAAAAATCCATGATTACTATGAGCACCGCTACCAGGGAAAGATGTTCGATGAGGAGAGCATCCTGGAGGAGCTGAATGAGCCACTCAGAGAGGTGAGACGGAGTGTGTGTGTGTGGGGGGGGGAAGTTAGTGTAGATGTCTGTGTGTAAACATCCATGGAAAAACAGCCCCTAGAGGCCCCTACAGTGGCCCCTGTTCTCTTCTCACTTTCCAAAACAATAAAGGGTTGCTGACAACAAAATGTGTTGCACTGTACGAAGCAATCCATTTGAAAGAGCAGCACATGTCTTACTCTGTGTGCTGTGGCATAATTCATTCTGTTGTATGCCTGGATATAGACCAAAGGTTCAGTGCATGAGCCAGGGCAGAGTGTTGTGCCCTTATTATTATATTTATCCGGAATGCTTACATGTACATGCAAATAGAGGTGGGTCACTGGTCCTCAGAGCCCACAACTGCTCCTTGTGACAATTAATAATTTTGTCTTATCCCTATGTGTCGTGAGGTTGGGACCAGTTTGAGAACCACTGACCTAAGGTCACCTTGCGCAGTGACAACAAGAGTGGTACAAAGCCCCCCCAGCATTGTGCTGTTGAGCAGTGGAATTGCGATGGAACACCATCCAATACCTTTGAGATGAGTTGGAGTTTATGGCGTTTATGATCCAGAACTGATCATCAGCACCTGACCTCACTAATGGTCTTTTGGCTGAAGGCAATCAAATCCTCACAGCAAAGTTCTATTATCTAGGGAGACAAACTCCCTATTAATACCCTTTATTCACAGACAAAATAGACGACCCAGTGCCCTGCTCTAGGACACATACTGCATATACTGTATATATACGTGACAGTATTTGTGATATCTTGGAAATGATGCTAAAGGCCACACATCTTGTTGAGAGCACTCATCAGCACTCAAGCCTTTCAGGTGTTTAAACCACCTTTGGGCAAAAACAGTTTTAATATGTGCTTTTAACAATAGTTTTGGAAGAAAACAAGCTGTCAGATCATTATCAAGCGCAAACCTACTCTTCATACCAAGGAGGACATTTTGATGAACAAGTGTTGCTTAAATATTGGCAAACAGCTGTTTTATGTTAAAGCAATAGTCTGGCAGAATATCTGGTTTACACGATTTTTCAGTTACTCGCAATGTTGTGGATCAGACAAGACATGTTTGTTGTTTGAAGTCTCCTTCTTTAGTTTTGCACTTGAGCTATGATGCTAATGTAGCTAACAGATTATAGCCACCAACAAAGTCATGTAAGTATGTTTTCTTACCTGAAAATTAACAGTAAAAATCAAATGTTACATGGAAAATTTGAAAAGAAGAAGAGATGGAATGATACCATTTTTTGAAATATCGATACAAACTTAAATATCAGCCAATAGCAGTATAATAAGAGGAGGAGTCAGAATGACACAACACCTGTTGTCTGAAATGCTGTCATACTGTGTCCTAAACCACACCACCAAGTCTGCGCAGCCTTAATAAAGACTTGGATGTGGATTGTGTGGATTGAGAAACATGAGGAGAAACATGTTTTTTACTGAAAAATTTGGGTGACTATTGATGTCTAGTGTTTGTTAGCAGTGTTGGCCTTGTAGCTCCAGCGCTAAACTAAAGAAGCAAAATTGGACATGACACATACAGTTGATTGACTGTATCTGGGATAAGTGGAAAATTTTGTAAATTTGTCAAATCATTGCTTTCAGATGAGCATCTAAAAGTTGGCTATGATGCTCAAACTTCTTCAGCACTCAACCACTCCACAGCTTACAACATGACATCACACAATGTAAAGGTGCTATTTCAGGCTAGATTTGTTACAGAATTAAATCAGATGCATTCATTTCCATCTCTGAAAAGAAGGCCAGATGTCCCCAAACATTCAATGGGCAGATTTGTAACATTCATGTATCTCTTTTTATAATGCAATAGCCTACCATATTAAAAATGCTTCACAAAGTAGGTTTTTCAGTGCTCTTTGTTTGATCTCCTAGTGTAAATGGTAAAGGCTAAACCCCCTCTGGTATGTTTGCCCTCTTTCAGGAAATAGTGAACTTCAACTGCCGGAAGCTGGTGGCCTCCATGCCTCTGTTCGCCAACGCTGAGCCCAACTTTGTGACAGCCATGCTGACTAAGTTGCGCTTTGAGGTTTTCCAGCCCAGAGATTACATCATCCGCGAGGGCACCATCGGCAAGAAGATGTACTTCATCCAGCACGGCGTGGTCAACGTCCTGACCAAAGGAACAGTGGGAATGAAGCTTTCCGATGGCTCTTATTTTGGAGGTGCGGTCTCTTGTTGCCTGGGAAATTAACCTGTTTTCATAACTGCCTAAATTAGGTTCAAATTAAACTGTCACATCCCTTAATTAAAGTGCCCAAATTCTAATTAAACCCCTGCGATGCTGGAAACATGATTTAAGGTGGTTTGCGTGACCTCGCTTTCCACAGGATGGAATTAAAGCAGAGTTAAATGAGTTGGATATTTGAGTGTGTGTTCTTGCGGACCCTCACTGTCATTCCTTCAGACATTAAAGCGTAATAACTCGTCTCCAGTCCTCTCTGTCACTCTTGATAGTGACAAGCATAATTTCCCTGAGACGATCCAAGCTCTGCTGACATGTTCGCCTGATAATTATAGCCCTGTTATTTGGAGAGCAGTGATGAGTTTATTGTACAGTAAATGGCAAAATATCCAGCCTGTTTCGTGCTCGAGCCTTCCACCCACAAACCCTGGGGCTCCGCTAAAAGAGAGATTGCATGGGAGTACCGGTGACATGCTGTAATCTGATGCCTCAGACGGGTGCCAAAGCCAGAACGCCACGGTTTTTTAGGAGCCTCTGTGAGAATCAGGTGGTAGTGAAAAAAGCAGGTTGATTTTGTAATTCTCAGAATGAGTCTTTTGCAGCTTTATTCTCATTGTACTGTCATGCCATAGCCATAATATATCCATAATTACCATCTTACCATACTCCGTATCTGAACAGACTTTGAGCCCCCGCTCAAAACTCCAAAATGTATGCTTTCAGTTCCCAGATTCATTGTCAGAAGCACTGTGTGGAGGATAGTGCAAACACTGTTTGAAACAGCTAGAGGTGGTCCATGTTTTCTTGAATCTAGCTGGAGTTAACCAGAAGTGCACTGCACAAGATTTTATCTGAGCAAGTGCAAAAATCTTAAATGTAGTCAGTATATCTAATATTTCTTAATCAAGAGATTGTTGTAAGAATATTATAAGATTATTTAGATTATGTATTAAACACTTTTACTTCTTTTGAGAAATTTTATCTTATGGAAGTGTCTTATTCCATTGCCAGATAATTGTACTTGTTTCAAGCATCATTACAATCAGCAATTTCCTGTTGCTAACTTGAGAAAGCAATTAGCTAACTAGCTAAAAATCTACTGTGTTCTGTTACAGTTTTCCTTTTTATTGTTGTTTTAGAATAACAAGATCTTTATTACACCTAGCTGACTCATATGTTCTACTACAAGCGCCTGTTAGCTAGCTAATTTAGCTAATGTAAGCTAATGTTCAAGGTAAATTAATGGGCTCAGCAGATAGCTAAATGTTAGCTAATGGGCTCAGCAGATAGCTAAATGTTAGCTACTGTGTTCTTTTGCAATTTTGCTTTTATTTTGTAACTTTAGAATAACAAGCAGGACAGCTCTTTATTAAACATAAAGTTATGGTTCATATGTTCTATTACAAGCGCATGTTAGCTAGCTAATTTAGCTAATGTAAGCAAATGTTCAAGGTAAACTTATGGGCTAAGCAGATAGCTGCCTGGCAAACTAATCTTAGCTAAACAGCTTGCTGGTTCATGCTGGTCTAGTGCTGGTCTGGTACTGATTTAGCTCATCTCCCAGCATGGTCATGATGTTTGACCAGCATACAAAAATCCCATCATCCAAAACAATGCTGGTTTCGCTGGTGACCAGCTATCCTGGTCTATATTAGTGTTTCTAGCAAGGAGCTCTTTATTAAACCTAAACATGTAGCTCATATGGTCTATTACAAGCAGCTGTTGTGTAATGTAAGCTAATACTTAAGGAAACATCAAGTAACTTAAATTATTTACCTTACAGAACTTATTTAGTCTAATCTTATATGAATTATTTCAGTATTTTTTTTAATAAGACTGTTAGTTGTATTCAAATGGATTACCTCTACAGTAGCACTACTTTTACTTAAGTAGGGATTTAAATCTTTCCAGCTCTGAATTAACTACAAGGGTATACATGCTGCTTTATAGGCTAGATGTGATTTCTGTGTTATGTTCTTGGTGCTGAAGACGAATGTGATACTTTGATCATTTTTTTCCAAAATGATGCCAAGCTCTGCACTGGAACACGAGTTCAATGGCTGAGCGTCTGCTGAGAGATCCGGAGACAGTGTTGCTTTTTCTGACTTGTAGAAGTTGTGTGCGGTGAGCGTGCTCAGCGTCGCCGAGGAGTGCAAGACAATCCCTCTGCGCCTTTAAAATTCTGATGACTCAGCACTCTGCAGCCGCAGTGGGCAGGCAGGAGCGGGAGCGTGACCTTGGAAAGGTTGCGAATGAACAGATGCCTTCTGTAGCTGGAGTTAAAAGGGTGGTAGAAAGGCCTCCCCTGGGGGGTTCAGCGCGACAGATATTGAGCAGGATCATGGGAGAAATATCAGTAGCAGCAGAAGCACAGCATTCGTTTCCCTTTCAAGGCATGCTAGTGGTCTCAGGGGCTATGCAAAATAGCAATAGGACAGAAACTGCATGCAAGTCAGGCTGTTTGGTTATGTGTGTGGGTATGTAGCTCTTTGCAGGGACTAAACCCTGGGATGCTGGAAAACAATATTTTTTGTGGGGATATTTGGACGGTCTCAATGAAGGAAATTTCTTTTTTCTTTAAAAAAAATACAGCTGTTATTTAATAGAACAGTTTGGTGAAATATTTCCAAATTTATGCAGTGTGTGTATATATACACTATATGGACAAAAGTATTGGGACACCTACACATTAGACCTACAGGAGCTTTTATGACATCCCATTCTAAATCCATGGGGATTAATATGGAGTTGGCCCCCTCTTCGCAGCTATAACAGCTTCCACTCTTCCTGGAAGCTTTCTACAAGATTTTGGAGTGTCTGTGGGAATTCTGCCCATTCATCCAGAAGAGCATTTGTGATGTCAGACACTGATGTTGGACGAGAGGGCTTGGCTCGCATCTGTTTTAATTCATCCCAAAGGTGTTTGATGGGGTTGAGGTGTAGGCCAGTCAAGTTCTTTCACACCAAACTCACCAACCATGCCTTCATGGACCTTGCTTTGTGCACTGGGGCTCAGTCATGCTGGAACAGAAAAGGATCTTCCCCAAACTGTTCCCATGAAGTTGGAAGCGTGGAATTGCCCAAAATGTCTTGGTCTGCTGAAGCATTAAGATTTCCCTTCACTGGAACTAAGGGTTCTAGGCCAGCCCCTGAAAAACAACCCCAATACATTATCCCTCCTCCACCAAACTGTACAGTTGGCACAATGCAGTCAGGCAGGTAAGGTTCTCCTGGCATTTGCCAAACTCAGACTTGTCCAACAGACTGCCAGATAGAGAAGCGTGATTTATTACTCTACAGATTACGTTTCCACTACTCCAGAGTCCAGTGGCGATGTGCTTTACTTTACTCCCCCTCCACGCTTAGCATTGAAAATAAACTAAGTAATTTTACATAGATGCACTGAAAGTTGTTTCACATAAAAGATGTGTTGTTGAATAATTTGATATATGACGTATTTATTAAAATATTTTTATATAATAATGGACTTGGAAGCATGTCATGTCAATGACCCAACTCCTGCTGATGTTGTCATAATGGCCTTGAAGCTGATTGGCTGTGCTTGTCTTTTACGGCTTTTCAACCTCCTCATGTCTTCTTTCTTTTCCTCTTCTTTTCCATACTTCCTATCTTTTCTTTCTTTCTTTCTTTCTTTTTTTCTTTCTTTCTTTCTTTCTTTCTTCCTTTCTGTCTTGCAAACACTATTCAGTTTGGGAAATTCAAATGTAGTCAGGAGAGGTACCACACAAAGATAGCCATACAAACTTGTGTGTGTGTGTGTGTGTGTGTGCATTTGTGCCTGCATGTTCGTGTTTGGGCATTCATTTATGCATCCATTTCTGATTGAAAAGCCGTGATATATTGCCTCTTGACTTGATGAATGAGACCCAACAGTGAGTGGTCTGGAATGACGGGGTGGTCTATAATTAGCTGTGGCCTCCCGGAAGGAGGATATTAGAGTTTGCGTCTGCTGATCCAGAACTGATTCAGAGCACAAGCTGTGAGCCGGCTCTGATTGATGGAGGTTTCTGCTTATGCAGTGACCAGTGTTTTTAATGCACACTAACTGTTCTAGAACATTCACACTCAACATCTGTCACTCAAGTGAGGAGATCAGTAGCACACCTTGATCACTGCAAAGAAACTAGCTGCCAGTGGAGTCGATTTCTGTCCAGAGGAGCAGGAGGATTCATCGTATTAATACCTCAGCATGGCTGTTAAGGGACTTTATGTACTAGCTGTAATGTCAGAGTGAGCGAAGAGTATACATCACTCTGGCATATAATCAAATGTAGAATGTTTGCCTTACCCCAAACATAGTGATTCAGCCAAGACATATTAGGTATGCAATGTTTGCTTTAGTTTTGCACTGGAGCTATGAGGCTAATGTAGATAACAAGTAATGGAAGCTTATATTGCAATTAGCATTGTGTGTAATCTAAATAGACTTGCTTATGTGGTTTCTGATGTTGTATGGCATACTGTCTATAAAAATGGATTAAAAAACAGCCTTCCTGATGGCTGCTACTACTGCTGTGCAAAATACACTCTCAAAAAGGATGGTTCTTCAAGGGTCATTTAGTAAAGAAAATGGTTCTATAAAGAACCATGAACACTCAAAGAACCCTTTGCATGATTAAAGTTTTTTTTTTGCATCGTGAAAGCGTTCTTCAGATTGATGGAGAATGTGCTGTAGATAGTTCTACATAGAACCTTTTTGAAAAGGGTTCTATATAGCACTCAAAAGGGTTCTTCTATTGTTACAAGCTTGACAAGAACCCTCCTGGGTGATATACAGAACCCATTTGAAAAGAGTCTACAGCACATTCTTAAGAACCCTTTCATGATGCAAAAAACCCTTTAATAATGCAAAGCGTTCTTTGAGTGTTCATGGTTCTAAAGAATGTGCTGTAGATGGTTCTGTATAGAACCTTCTTGAAAAGGGTTCTATATAGCACCATCTATAGCACATTCTTAAGAACCGTTTCACGATGCAAAGAACCCTTTAATCTTGCAAAGCGTTCTTTGAGTGTTCATGGTTATTAAGAATGTGCTGTAGATGGTTCTATATAGAACCTTTTTGAAAAAGGTTCCATATAGCACCCAAAAGGGTTCTTCTATTGTTACAAGCTTGACAAGAACCCTTTTGGGTGCTATATAAATCCCTTTTCAAAAATATTCCATATAGAACAGCACATTCTTAAGAACCTTTATTATACAAAGATTCCTTTAACCTTGCAAAGGGTTTTTTGAGTGTTCATGGATCTTTATAGAACCATTTTCTTTACTAAAGAATCGATGAAGGACCATCTTTTTAGGAGTGTACTTTTATCCATTTTTACAGATAGGGCTGCCCCCAAAAATTTAAATACTCAAGAATTTTCTTATTAACATATTTGTTTCGATATTAAGTAGCCTTAACTACATTACAGTTCATCAGCAAAGGCCTTTAGATACACCACTTATTGTTAATATGCAGAAAATGTTAAAAATAAATACATTTTGGCTGGTTTAGTCAAATACATCATAAATTCAGGCCACGCATCCACATCTCCTCAGCTAAAAAGTTGTGTGGGAACACTTTAAAGTATCGGACAATAAGAATGCTCAGTGAAAAACTGTGATGAGAGGCTCATGTATCATGGAGGCCAGTTTAATGAATCATCTGAAATCTGTAAGTATAGTGGTGATCCTTCAGAGGAAAAACAGTATTGTATAAATGTTGCACTTTGATGACTCAAGAGACTTAATGGCGATTCTCCTAAAATTCCTTATTAGAAATATCTTTAGATAAAAATGAGACATTAGACACAAGAGAGATAAATGAGTTTAGCTGCAGAGAAAGATGAGAATTATTATCTATAAATCAGCTCTTTGCTCAGGAGAAATATCTGAGCAGGAGACATAAGCAAAAGTCCCCTTTGTCTTTCCATCTGATCTCATTGTTGTCTAGGAGAAACTACATAGATTTCGAGGAAATCTCTTTTGATTTTTCTTTCCTATGGGATGCCACTTTGTAGGCTACATGCTGAATCCACATCGGACACGATGCATCAGTGAAATCATAGCGCTAGTGAAGTACTAGCGAACATGCGGCCAATCTGCACTGCCTTTGGGGACTCAGCACGTAACCGCTTCAGGCAGGAAAATAAGCTCTTTTTTCTCCCTTTCTTTTTAATTAAGCACTCAACAAAAGCACAATCATAAGTTTTTACCACCGATAGTGACAAGATTCCTCACACATTGTTAGTACAGTGCATGAGCTGCTCTGCAACTGCTATGCCACCAAGATAAGTGGCATAGCACAAAATTCTGGGCATCCTCTGAAAGAGTGAGGGTCAAGTGCCTTAACTGTGGGAACATCATTGTAACATGCAACTATTTCATATTACTTTTAAGTCAAAACAAAAAACAGTATGCCCATTTCTTCTTACATTTTCTGGAAATTTAGAAAGCTTTGGTCTTGCATTAAAAAAATTCTTTCTAGGCTAAATTAATTTTGTGCATTGCTGACGCATTTTTATTCACTCTTTTCAAACTGGACAACTATGTGCTCCATCCACTCATTTCAAACAGCCTAAAATGGGGTGAGATTGAATACCTCAATGCGTAAAAAGATGATAGTTATTATCTTGTGTTTTGACAGATGTCTAGTGTCTAGCACAGCTGGTGTGACTGAAACACTGATTCAAATGGAAGTGAACCTGTTTGTCAGCTGGATGACTAAAAACACTCCAGATATTATTGTTTTAGGGGTCATTTTGACAATGACTAATTGAGTAGTTGTTTGGAAATACCAATGAGTATTCAAAGCCTCTAAAATGCTGTTTGGGCCTGTCCTATTTATACATAACAGTACACTGTACAGTTTCCTATTGCAGAAAATTATGAATGATCAATCCAATTAGCAAGCAAAAATGGTTTGTCGATAGGAGATCACACTGCTGTGCATGGATTCATTTAAACTTTACAGAGTGATAATGAGATCATAAAACTCCACTGCACTCTGCAGACCTCTAAATCATCTGACATTGATTTAAAGCAGTCTATTTAACTGTCAGCTATGGCTAGATGTCTCAGCGTCCATCTTTCATACTCTTACAAATGCATCCATACTGTGTTCATTTTCAGTTTTAAGGACTTTGAGAACATCTGAAAATGCCCTAAAAATGTAAAAATGTGTGGTGACAGATGCAAATCATGTTTATCTGTGTGTATGTTTGTGTGTTGTGCGTCTCTCCCTATGGCAGAAATCTGTTTGTTGACACGAGGTCGGCGAACGGCGAGTGTTCAGGCAGAGACGTACTGCCGCCTCTACTCGCTCTCAGTGGACCATTTTAACGAGGTGCTGGAGGAGTACCCCATGATGAGGAGAGCTTTCGAGACTGTTGCCATTGACAGGCTTGACCGTATAGGTAAGAACGCCAACACTTGGCAAAATAAATCAGATTTGCACAATATTCCAGTAAATCAGACAAGACTATGCAAAATGTAGATTATCACTTAATTTTCTTGTTCATTCATAACTTTATGCAGTTGTGTCATCACATAACAACATGGAATAGTCAATTATAACTGTGACCAGGGGTGGGTTGAAATTACTGAAAAAAAATAATAGCTACAATTGCAAATAACTAAATCTAATTTGTATTTACATGGGGCCCCTGGCTCACGGGCACCCTAGACAGCTGCCTGTCCTTGCCTAATGCAAAGACCGCTGCGAAGCCTAACAAGTAATGAAAGCTTATACTCAACCAATTAGCACTGGGCAAACCGCATGCCTAAATTACATACACTTAGCTCAAACTGTACTGAGTTGTTAAGTAATCTCAAATAGACTTGCTTATGTAATTTCCGACACTGTAAACATGCATACATATATCATACAATGTCACACAGGCAAGTCTGTTTGAGATTATTGAACAACTCAGCACAAATTTAAAGGGGATTCCACCAAAAGAACCAGGCGTCTGAAGAGTTAAAGGCCTCCAAAAGCTACCTCAAAGAAAGTGATTGTTTTATAATAGTTCTGAGATTAAATTTTGGCCTGAAACATTAATGGTGGATAAATACATGAGGCAAAATATTCCCCAGAGAAAAACTTTTACCATCATCAACATTACATTATATATGAAATTCAGAAAGCACATGTAACTTCACTGGTGGTTTTGGATAATAGATAAAGTGGCTATATTTGCATTGTAGACGTCACAACCCCTGGTTGCTATCACCACCACTGTAAAGAAAGAAGTTGTTAAGTTTCTTTACAGCACACTATTTCAAATCAAATCACTCTGACTGAGTAGTTTGTCATTTGCTTGATGTTAATTGGTGTGCATAAGCATCCATTACTTGTTAGTTACATTAGCCTCATAGCTCTGAAGGAAACAAACTTTGGAGACCAGATGTCTACACTGATCAACTACATTTGGGGTAAGGGGATTTGATTTTCAGCTGAACTACCTTTTTAATGTGCAAATCAGGTACTGATTTTTTTTCCATACTTGGTAGTATTGAAGCACTTCAGCTGTTATTGTTAAGGTATGAATTTCAATACCCAGCCTAAGTGGTATTCCAGGATTAGGCTTAATTAACATATGCACTGTGCCACCCTTCCCCAACAGGTAAGAAGAACTCTATATTAATGCACAAAGTGCAGCACGATCTCAACTCGGGTGTCTTCAACAACCGTGAGAATGAGATGATCCAGGAGATTGTCAAGTACGACCGCGAGATGGTGAAGCTTGTGGACCTGCAGCGCCCACGAGCCATGTCCATGACGCCTTCCATCCCCGGAGGCATCTTTGCCCCTCCTGGTCAATCCCAGGGTGCCTCCGCCATCGCCACCCTCCAGCAAGCCGTAGCCATGAGCTTCTGCCCCCAGATGGCCAGCCCTCTGGTGGGGCAGGGCGCGCTGCAGTCTCCCCGAATGGTCCGACGCTTCCAAGCCATCCAAAACCTTTCCAGCCCTGTGTCCATCTCTCCCATGCAGTCGCAGCCGCCAGGTCCAATTGCCGGGGGAGCCTATGCTTCTGCGGCCACTTCCAGCCCGCCAGTGCAGAGCCCATTAGCAGCAATGGGTGGCCGGACATTCCAGTATGGCTGCAGCCCAATGGGTGGGCGCACGGGATCTCAATTGTCCCTAATCCAGCAACATGTGCCCAGTCCTACTCGGGCCACCCCACAGAAGAGTACCCATTCCTTGCAGCATGGGGGCAGCCTAAGCCAGGATGCCCGGGCCTTGTCCGCTTCCCAGCCTTCCCTGCCCCAGGATGGCCCACCAGCTGTGGGCCCCAGCCCACCACCATCAACCCATGTATCCTCTACGTCCATTGGTCCACCACAAGCCCCTCACCCTGCCATTCCTGGGCCTTCTGGAGTTAGAAGTGCTGTGCCTCAAAGAATGGCATTGCCCCACCAGACATCAGCAGCAGGACCTGCTTACCCCTCCACTCCACCCCCTGTGGGTACCCCTCCGGTGGCCAGTGGAGCAGGTGTTGCAGGACAAGGTCATCTTGACCCAATAGTGCACAAGAAAGATTCAATAGTTAGTCTCCCAGAAACGGACTCAGCTAGATCCAGGCTGTCCTCGAACCTCTGACCGGAACACTCATGGCGGCACTATTGTGAGTCACAATGAATTCTGTTCCCCAGGTTCTATCAGTGCGGTATTTCTGTACGCTCGTAACAGCCTTCAGTGGAGGAGGCGGAATCTGAGATTCATAGCTGATGAGAAGGGGGATTACTCAGACAGATGTACTACTACTAGATATAACGTCGCTACTGTAACTAGATTGAAGCAAGTGGGATGTTTCTAGTCGACCCACTTGCATAGTTAGTCACTTTCGCGTTCAGCTAATAAAAATGCCCCCTTTCTGTCTTTGTTATGAAGAGGAACGGGGTGGAAATTCTGTTGCATACTCTGTAGAGTCCATACAATGCAATCTGGCCCGAGCTGGGACTTAAGTTATCAGGGACTTGCATCAGATGACAATGATGAAATTTTATGCTTTGCAAAAGTGTTTTGAGTGTCCTTTTTTCTGTATAAGCTATAATTGTAGCAAACTAATTAACTGTCCATATTCTTGTAAAATATCCATGAAAATAGTATTATAGACCGCTGGTCGATCTTACATCGATATGTAAATAGGATAAATGAGAAAAAAAACAGTAAATATCTTCATTGTATTTACTCAAAAACCAAAGTTGAGCTTGAACACAAAGTTTGGTTGTGTCTGTGTCAACTGAGAAAAAAGAAACACCATTTATTTAACTGCCTTGATTCCAAGTTTAGAAGCCATATACATGGTTTGTGTGTGTCTATGTGGGAGCGCAGGAGCATGTAAGCCTGTTATTTATTCATTGATCTGTTTTCTCAAGAGAGTGCAAAGCTACTGTAGTGTTTTTTTTAAGTGTTTTGCTGGGCATTTTTGATGGATGTGTGCACAATGGCTAAGGCAATACTCGGCAGACTCTGGGCTGCACTGAAAGTCTTTACTGATGAAGACCAATGACTCTGTCACTGGTAGCAGCGGAACCAAAAGAATCTATATATCTGAAACAAGACTCAACTCGTACTAGTTTGGATCCAAGTTGATCATTTCATGCAATATGATTCTGCAATACGCTAACCTTGCTTATTGTCTGAAATTTTAGTGTTGCAATGCGAATACTTTATCCTCTAGGTAATGAGGTGCAGTTATGAGAGGGAAAAACTTTGTGTATAATGAGTTTCGCTTCAGGCATAACTTTCTCCGTTTTACACAAGCACTGAATTACACTGAATTTTCTCTGCTCTTTTCAAGTAATAAGTGACATTACTGAGTGAAATGGGGTTTTCCTGCAAACTTGTCGTTGGTGGTATTTAAATTTGTGGCATTTCTAGACATCTTAAAGTGCTGCACTAATACACTTGATTCAAGAGGTCATATTTAGGCTGAACTGATTGTTGTTTCTTTTTTATATTTTCCTATTTGTAGCCTAATTTACCTGCAAAAAGTCAAATACTTGTGTTTTGTTGTGGCATTCTATTGCATTGACTTAAAAAATAACCCATTATTTGTGCAATTTAACCAGTATTTACAATGCTCTGCACTTTAATGAAACCTCCAAGGTAGGTCTTACCAAGTTTATCTGGCTGATGTAAGGGGTTGTTGGGGATGTTGACCACATCTGTTCTTTGGTCATTGGCTGAAACATCGATGTTGTCTTGATTTAAAGATGTTTCACCTCAACAGTACGTAGTTGCTTGTTTCATAGTTAACTGCTGCAGTTTTTCTTTTCACTTAAACTTGGATTGACAGCTGTAAATATGATATTGTAAATCAATGTGTGAATCTGAATAGCAATGTTAGCGAGGGGAGGGACTTAGTACTCAAGAAAAAAGAAAACTGAACTCAGATGGCAATAGGTGCGTACTTAGTTTCTGAATGTATGCCAATTGGCGTTTTATGACAGCAAAATGAATATCAATTACTGCCATGTAAATAGGATCATATGATAATGCAAAACGGAACGTGTGTGTGTTTTGCTGAGTGTTTATTGTGGTGATCAACTCTTGATTATGCTAATTAGATACTTCTCAAATATTTATTTATTTTTTTAATGTCTGGTGTTGTTACCACCGCCCCCCACTGGAGACTGGGTCTTAGGTTTGAAAGTGCATGAAGACGTTAAACAATAAAGCACACAGTATCCCCATGAGCACCCTCTAGAGGGCAAGTAAATCACCACATTCCTAATGACCATACCGAGTTGACCTTTGGTGGTTTTTATGATTTGATGAAATGAATATAGGCAGCTTAATGAGTGTGGTAAATCAGCACTGTAAACATTTCTGCTATTCAATTCCAAGACTAAGATAATAACTTGTGTTTATATCCCTTTTATTACAGTATTTTCTTTTACATTTTAGTCATTAATTTCATTTACATTGGTAAGCGTAACACTGTTGTAGACTGTGCTGTCTTTCACCAGGCGTTTTGCGTTAGCGCCATAAGGTACAATTAACATCTGTACAACCAAATAAATGCCCATTTCTGGTTCTCCTGAGCTGGCATTGCCATTTACCAGCAGTAATGTGATCATGTGATCAAATAAATCCTAGGAAAGGAAAAGTGGCATGAGATAGGGTGACTGTCCAGCTGGGCTCCATGTAACTTGATTGCTGATTTGTTATATTATCGCTTGTCTTTAATTACACAAGCATAATACATTCTGTGCTGTCCTTTTTTTTTGCCTGTACGGTGCAGCTTTCTGTTCTGTTACAGTTCTACTTCCCATTGTCAGAACTGCACAATATTGCATTTGTTCCTATTTTATCTTTGTGTCTACAGTAGATCCCCAGCCTACTGACAGCTGTATTGTGAGTGAGATGAACCAAATGAATGAATACCTGCTGTGTGTATATCACTGCGGTTAAACTGCAAATTATTGGAACTGTTTATTTTTGTAACCATGCACATATGATGGAGTTATAGCCCTATTTAAGCTGCTATTTTGGCTCTACTGGACTTGTGTGAAAGGTGGTCACAGTGCAAGTATATGGACCCCCCACCCCTTACTTAAAGGAATGCTACACCTCAAATTCCAAGGCTGGCTTTACATGGGGAAACTTTGCAGGTTACAACTTGATGGTTACACAAAGCAATTCAAAGATAATTAAAGTTGCATGTAACACATTCAGTTATCCAGATAGAAAGCATATATCCGTCCACTGACTTGGTAAGGAGGGCACCCTGCTGACTGTATGCCACTGCTGGTCCACCCTTGGACTACCCATATTATTGTCCTGCATACAGGACTAGTCTAACTAGTTTTTAATCCCCTAAAACAGATTTTAAATGCACATAGCCTTTTATTTTGGAAAATAATATATAACAAATATTACAAACAATTGCTAGAAAAAAAAAATTACTATGCCTGATATAAAATAATGATGATATTGCTGTTAAAATTATTTACTAAACTAATTTACAAAGGATAAGGACAGAAAGAAATAAAGGAAAACAAGTAAATTGGACTGTGAGTGGAAAATGACTGATAAAAAGTGGCATTTTGTCTAACACTCTGCTTAGCCACCAGTTGGCCGTTCAGAAAACGCTGAGCTAAAAGCCAGTGGGCTGCTAGCTTTGCTGTCACTACCCTCTTGCTATCTGGGTATCCCACTAGTTAGCAAGATAAGCAGCTAGCATTTTTCATACTGTGTAGTTTTGGCTGTATAAATTCATCTGTGATATGTTATTTAGCCAATTATTGCATTAATTTTCAGTCAAAGGGAGAAAATAATTAAGCTACCTACATAGATTACAATACAGCAGGCCAAAACAGAACAAAGGCAAGCACCAAACAGCCATTCAAACAGCTGTCATGTTAATGCTTGCCTCACTAGTAGACTAGATACATTATTAGCATTGTAATTGGCAGTTTTTATTAAACTTGTTTCACAAAGTTGAGATGGTTGTAAGTTTCAAGTGAGTTTTAGGGGGCATTACATGTACATTTATTTCAAAGTTTCTCCATGTACAGCCAGCCTAGCATGGCTAACACTAAATGAATGCTGCTAGTGATTTAATTTGAATAATGCTAGCTGGCCTCCACTGACTATTAGCAACATTAGCAATTCTAAATGAAGTGTTCCTTTAAGTAGACATTTGGAGTAGTACCCTCTATGTTTTACTGTAAGCTTGCCATGCAGCTCATGTAAAGTCCCTGAAGAAAACTCTTTTGGTCAGAAAGGCCAGCACTGAAGCTGAACTAAGATGGACAATTATTGGAAAGTACCATCATCCAAAAGCTCCTGTTTCACAGTACAGGACATAAATGGTACAAAATGCCTTGGTATAAAAATGTCTTAGTAAATCAGGGTACTTTACGTTTCTATTCTGAGAAGTGTTTTTTTTTGTTGTTGTTTGTTTGTTTGTTTATTTTCTGTTTTGTTTTTCGTATTTACAGTGTGCCCCAATGCACAATGTAATGTACATACCTAGTGCCTAGTATACCTAGTTTCCACATAGTCTATTTTAGTGGTACGTGGCTCTGTAAAAGAATAAGTGCAAACTATGTGTTCTTTTTTTTTACCTTGCAATATATGTACAATATAGCTGCTGAATAGTTGTTAGCAAATGAAAAACGAATAATCCAGCATAATCTTCCCCACGTCGGAAGATACGACTTGCACATTCATGTCTGTCCTGGACCCTTGAACAGCATGCGCTCGTGGTGCACTGGGGTTGAGTTGACTTGCTGGGACGCACATTGTGGAGCACCTGCCAAAACGCCTGGCTCCACCTGAACGCTGGTTTTCGGTGGAGCCGCTGTTGCAATCCATAGACATCACGCCAGATGGCTTGGCGCTTTTCGAAATCAAATCCACCTCTGTAGTAGACTAGACGTCAGCTGAGCACACACAGATAAACACAAAAACACAGCAGGTCTGATTATATTAAATATATTAGAAATCCTAATTAACATATAAGCATGCATATATAGTTTTTAATGAAGTGTATATAACAGTGGCAATTTTACATAAATAAATAAATAAATATATATATATATATATATATATATATATATATATATATATATATATTTATGTAAAAT